AATGCAAGGAGAACTGAAGCACAATGACTCACCCAGGGAAATGCAGGATGCTTGGGGTACAGTGAGAACAAATCATGATCAGTGCCTAGATACCACAACATCTCTTACTAAGGACTCAGGACACTGCAGCCTAGAGTACTGTACAAGTGCACACACTACCTCTGAGCGCCAAAAATAAGTTCAATCTATATAGTCTAGTTCCTGGCGTCTGGTGACAATGGTCTATAACATCAGTTATAAAGTGGTTAAGGTGGATGTTAGGCCATCCTGTTATCTCACTGTGTAACTTGGTGCCAAAGGATTTTAGACAGTCCTTCCACCTTTGCAAGATAAATGCTTGCATAAGGGAAGTCTTTATAAATCAAAGCTTTGATTACAGTAAATGGTGCAGAGTAACAGGAGTGTTTTACAAGGTCTCTCTTCTGGGTTCATTCCAGAGAATGATGTGGGAGCTGTTATAGCTCCAAGCTAGAGCCATGGCTCTTTATTTCCAACCGTAGCAACTCATGCTTTTAGCTCTGAAGACTCCTAGTATTTTGCCAAAGAAGGTGACAGGCATATTTGGCTTTTCAAATAAATTCACTGATCACGTGCTATCACCACTTTCAAAAGTGGTATACACTACTGGACAAAAAGGCAGTATTTTAGTAGGAAAGCTCATAGTTCATAGAACTGGACCATGTACTACTCATACACAAGGTGAGCATATTTTACTTGTTAAGAGCAAAGGTTACTAGGTCAAGGCTAGTACTTTTGGCATGTAACCAACTGCAATTTGATTACATTAGATGATGCGATTGTCTGTATTATTTAATCGTTATTCTGGGTGCCACTCATCTACATTGGGAGGGGATCTATTTCATTTTCCTCTGTACTGAGGCTGTCAGCAAGGCAGCCACCTATTGCCAAACAGGTTAACAATTCTCATAGTGTGGGCACTTCATTCAATGCTGGACCAAGACCAATTTATTTTATGAAGGTTGACAAACAGATGACAATAACTTTAGGTCACTAGTGAACTTAGCCAAAACTGAAATACAGCTCCAACCCCAACGCCAGTCCTGTAGACAGGCCAAAAAACCATTACCTACAACTTTTCCCATTTGCTAATTCTTTAGAGATGCAGAGAGGATTCAGGGGTAACTAGACAGCACAAAAGGGTATGGTCACAAACACTTAAAAGAACCCACACCAAGCCTATATGGAGATAGTCATGATGTGAAAGTAAACAGCAAAGTCTTTCATCAGTCAAGGTGGTTTCTTCATCCAGAAGATCACTATTCAATGTAGTCCAAATGAAAGAATAGAGAAGCTGAAGTAACTAATCTTTAACTGCACCTGAACAACCTTGTCCATTCAGCAAGCATATTCTGCTGTGCATTAATCATGTCTTAGCTTTCCATGGATTTCAATCCAAGGTTAAGAATGAAAGCACAGCCAAGAAAGTGGCAAAACAAGAGTTTAAGAATGTAATATTAGGCTAGGTATTCTTCTGCTGTACCTGTAAAGCGCAGCTGTTAGCTGCGCTGACAGGCCTGCACCTGTGCTAGGCATCTCCTCTCAAACACTCAGATGAGAATCAAAGGTTTATCCGAGAACACAACAGCTATCTAAGGCAGACACCTGCCCACTACACAGCAACTGCTTAGAAGACAGTCCCAGCCTTTGACAAAGCCAGTTCTCACCTTCGAGATCGTGATCTCCTTGAAAGATCCCTGCGAGGTGGGTATCTCAATCTGCCTTCGTATTCTCTGCTGCGAGACCTCTTCCTCTTCCATTTGTGATTCATGTAGGCCTCTTGCTCGGGAGATCGGTATCTCTTACAGTGATGCATCTGGGGCGCAATAAGGAAGGCACCTGAGTAAAAGGTATCGACTGGAACTGTTGACAGTTTGCAAGTCTCATGGAGCTCCCTACTTATTAAGTGAAGATAGTGAAAACAAAAAGCCATGAGGAGATGAGAGAAAGAGCAACAAAAGTCATCACCAACATTACCAATTACAGTTATAAATAAAGAAGTCTCCACAATGTAAGCAGCAGCAGGGGACAGTTGCACATCACCCTTTTTTCCAATCTAATACCTACTAACATCTACTACTATTCCCACTGGAAAACAGTCAGAATATTTTTCTGGATTTTTCCACTCTCCAATGAGATTTCACTGTTTCCCTCACATATTCAGCTCTCACACCATTTGCAAATACTTTAAAAGCTAGAGATATACAAAAGTATTTTAAGAAAATAGAACATGTGATTGTAAGAGGACAGGGGCGGGGATAAGAATCTGGAACTAATTTAATTTCATTTATAAACGGACTAAATTAAATCAAGTGTTCCTTTACTACAATTAAGCTCCGGCTTAATCAGCAGACACAAAGGTAGACCAGATGGCCTTTGTGCAGACCTTCTTGCTTTTTCATCATTCATTTGAACTCATCCTGTGTTAATAATGCCTGGAAAGCCAGCACTATCAAAAGACATTAAATTAAAAAACATGGTGGCTAGAATAATGGCCCAATTAATGGCCTGAGCCCCCATGTTCCTCTGCCCTGCTCCAATACCACTAACTAGAAATGCCCCCAAGAGGATTCCCGTGCAAGAGGAAATCCTCTGGTGGCGCAGAGCAGTCACGGTAGCTATTGCATCTGCCTTACTTGGGAGAAGTAAATCTCACAGAAAGGGATGTGGCCTGGATACACCTACACAAGGGATTCCTGGTAGCTTAAGCAGCCTTGTGCAGTTCATGCACGAGCAGACCTTCTGCTCTCACTTCACAACCCCATTGTCAGCACCAAGTATCAGACAGCAACTGAGCATAGAAGTCATTTCAGGAAACCTGGACCCAATTTTGTTTCGATGTAATATCACAATTATCAGTTATGTTAATACCCAAGAAAAGACTACAAACCTCTTAAACCAGCAGTTCAAGGTTTAAGATACTAAACCTATACTACAAAACTACCACACATTAAAGAAAAAAATGCCCATCAAAACATTGTTTACAGAAAAATCCCATTGAAAACAGTCAGTTTAGATTCAAACCCGGAAGTGTCCAAACCCAAATAGCGCAGCACTGTTACAATGTAAATAGACATTAAAATTAAACTACTGTCTGGGGCCAGTATTTCTGCACCACAGAAAATGAAAGTCAGTCGGATGCAGAAAGGTCAAGCTTCGTTTAAAAGAAAAACACACACGTCAGGATCCCATTATGGAACAGCTTCTTAACCCATGTCTCTCCACTGCCTTGTATGGATTTTGTGGCTCTCTCCTGCTCCCTTATTTCTAATTCAGTTGTCCTTTTCTATCCATCTCCCCTTCAAGACATCCTCCCCTCTTTTCCTTCAGGGTGGAAGGCCTTTATCAGCTCATCATATCCTTGCCTCTCACCCTTCCTTGGCCCCCAAATCCAGTGAATGTCCCTCCATCCAGGAGACCTGAGTATTGCTTTCACTAGAAAGCATCAGTTTTGTTCCTGCAGGCAGCAACAGAGGTGGTCAGTGGGCAAGCTAAGCCACTACCGCCCCACAAGCAAGCGCCAGCCCAGAGAGGGAAAAACTAAACAAGTAATCCCCATGCCCACAGCTTTCCCTTCCTTTCAACCACTTGACTCCCCCATTTTTTGCCTGCTTCCTCGTTTGCCCTAAGCACATCACAAACACAACCCAAATCACCCTGTGCCAAAGAGGCTTCTAGTTTTTGCTTTGACAGACACCAGCCAACTGATCCATTTTCAGCGCAAAGAACATTTTACTAGAGACCTTAATCCTCAACACAACCCGCCACCGCGCATGGACACATGATCCTGCACCAGAAGCGCCAAACGACTTTGACCCATTTGTATCCTTGACGTGCCTGAAAGTTGTTGAAGAGGACCTGGCTGCCAATCCAAAATTAAAGCCCTCCTGGATCCCTCCCCACCAAAATGACTTTCTACTGCGTTCGCAGAATCTCACCACAGTGAAGGCCTCAGCCCTCCAAAGCCAGGACCCGGCTCTGCTGGTGCAGGAGGGCTCAGGAAGCGCAATCCTCATCGGTACCAACCCCTGCCGTCCCGCAGGATCGGTGCGACACACGCACACCCCCGGGAGCATACGCAAAGCCAGCCCGAGTTTGCTTTTGGCAGGCTGCCCAGGCCAGTAGTTTGTCTGGCAAGGAAAAGGAGAGCTCCCGTCGGCCCTTGAAAACAAAGGGGATTTTTTTTTCCCTCCTCAGTTAAAGCTTGAGGGGGAAAAGCTACCCCACCCCCCACGGCCACGACCCTCCGACCCTCGCGTCCGCAGCTCGGAGGTCCGGCGGGCGCCGCGCCAAGGGAGAAAACGAGTTACGCTCTCGACCTTTTTAGGCCCCAAGCCTCCTCTGCAAGCGCCCCCTCGCTTCTCGGCCCCGGCGCCGGGCGGGCACATCACATCGGCCCCGTCCCGCTGCCTCCGACGCAAGGGTCGGCGCCCTCGTTGCCCCGGGGGGCGGGAGGAGGCTCCAGCCGCGGCGCATGCGCGTGAGGGGAGGTCCGCGGGGGGGGGTCCG